GGGAGATGTACGTTGATGGAGCATCTAGCTCCAAAGGCTGTGGAGGTGGAGCTGTCATCACGTCACCGCAGGGGTTTAAGGCATATTACTCCATTCATTTTGATTTTAAAGTGACTAACAATGAGGCCGAGTATGAGGCACTTATTGCAGGTCTGAAATATGTCAAAGCTCTGGGTGCCGACCGTCTGAATGTACGCTCGGATAGCCAGCTAGTGGTTGGCCAGGTGAATGGTACTGTCGAGGCAAAGGAAGAAAGAATGAAGGCTTACAAGGAGCTGGTCGAGGAACAGACCGGAAAGTTTGAACAAGTGGTGCTCGATCAGGTTTCCAGAATAGAGAATGTAGAGGCAGATATTCTATCAAAACTTGAGAATGCCACACTGGATGATCAGGCTCAGCTCATCCCTGCACACATCCAGCGGTTTGCCCATCGGGAGACGTTAGCAACATCGGCTACAATGGTCCTTCAGGTGGAGGCTATATCCTATGCTTTTCCTAGTTGGGTCATACACATAACCAATTACCTGAAGGATGGATCCCTCCCAACAGACAAGAACTTGGCATATAATGCCACATGCATCCAGAGGAGGGCCCCCATGTTCAAGCTGGTAGATTGACAATTGTACAAAAAGTCGTTCAGGGGACCGTACCTAAAGTGTCTCCCACCCCGTCTTGCGGCAGCAGTAATGGAGGAAATTCACCAGGGAATCTGTTCGAGCCATCAAGGTCCGAAAACTCTTGCAAGGAAAATCATCTTGCAAGGTTACTACTGGCCAACCATCCAACGGGATTGCTTTGAACATACCCGGAAGTGAAAGGTTTGCCAGCAATATGCCCCAGTGCCCGAACGACCACCGAGCTTCTACACCCCAATGATCACGGTCTTGCCGTTTGCTAGGTGGGGGATCAACTTGCTAAGGCCCCTACCCACACCTCCTGCGGGCAAGAAGTATATTATAGTGGGGATCGACTACTTCACCAAATGGGTAGAGGCCAAACCACTGGCTAGCATCACGCAATTCCAGTGCCAGAAGTTTGTCTGGCTGAACATCATTTCCCGGTTCGGCCTCCCAGAGCAGATTATAACGGATAACGGCCGGCAATTCGTGAGCAAGGGCTTTGAACATTATCTAACCAAGTGGGGAATCAAGCACTCTAGGGCATCAGCGGCCTACCCTCAGGCGAACGGCCAGGTGGAAAATATGAATAGAACAATCATGGATAGAGACAAAAAAGAATCGGTCTTTCCACCCCTTGATGGAAGTAAGGTTCCCCTTGAAGAGAATCCGCCTCGTTCGGGCACTCACTGCCAGGAATCCATCGGTTTGTTGGGGAGCAACCTTGAATAAATGATGGAAGACGTTCAGGTCGGGCACCACATCAACATCCACGCAATGACAAATAAACCCAGTCATCATGACCCGATAAGAATTTGGCATTATTTGGGCCGAGACTACACCATAGTGGTTGAAGAAGGCGACGAAGAAGGGGTGCAACGAGAACCTAAGTCCGACCTTGATTGAGTCAAGGTGCACCACCGCCATCCCAAGACGGCGGCGCAACGGGTGTAGACCGGCATGGAGACGGAAGTCAACCGGGTCGAGAATCAAGGCTGGGATTTGGGCCCTGAGTTTGTTGGATAGTCTTTGCCTCCACTTTCGAATGGGCCTCAAGCCCAAATGATGACGAGGGGTATCGTCAGAAGGGCCCCACCTCATCATCGCCATATCATCACCAGACACGGCGTCGACAGAATCACTGCTGGATGCATCATCGAACTTTCGGGTTTAGCATTCTCAGAACCACTAGCGGAAGGGGGATCTTCGGCCACAGTCTCCATGGTGACACTAGTGCCCTCCGTATCGACAACATTCGTGTTAATTTCAGAATCCCGACCTAACTCGATAATTGAGGGGTCAGAAGAACTAGAACTCATTGACATTTGTGCCGAACCGGAAGAAAAAGCAGAAAGAAGAGGAATGATGATTACCTTAGCGAGCCTGGGAAATTAGGGATTTGGGAAGAAGGCGAAGCACTTGAACGAAGATGCAAAAATCGGAAACCTGGGGCCAAGGTCCCAAAGACATACTTATAACCTAAAAGCGCCGATTCACGGACCAATCCCAGGGGGACACGTCACGAGGAACGTTCCTAGGGACACGTGTCACACAAAGACAAAACGTTAGGTAATCATGACGGTTACATAAGGAATGCAAGCAACAGCGGCCAAAGAACTTCGAACCATCACGTCAGGGGCGGTCAGGCACTAGCCAAAAACACCGCACGGGATCACACTGAACGGCGAAAAGATTACTTTTTCCACTTCCTTATGTCCCTAGCACGCTCGGAACATCGGAAGTGGGGGACTTGTGATTGGATATTAAGGTTCGGCCCAATATGGTGGCCCAAAATATCCCTGAGGCCCAGACGCAAGGGAAGGTCCAGTGAAAATCATCAGGCCCGAACGAGAATTGGATTATTAAAGGAAAGACCCGTTCGGCACCTCACGAACGGGGTATAAGTGGCACTTGGGTAATTAGTTTATTCCCTGGTTGATAGCTTAGCTGGGCTTAATCCCGAACGAGAATTCGCTCATGCGACCGACTGCAATTAATGTTGGATCATGGAGGCCTCAAGTGGCATGGGAGACAACCAATCGTATTAGAGCACCCCATAGCCCCACATACCTCCATTTAGTATAAATAGCAGCATTTAATTCATTGTAAGGGTTAGCATTTGTTTACTCACAAACTTATATTGCATTCTAGCTCTTGTATTAGCCTTTGGACCGTAACTACCGTTTAACCATTTTCGTGTAATTGTTATTACTGTGTTAATACAAGCAAGACTATTTGAGTGAATCTATCAGTTTTTACATTTCTTTTATACACTTTACTGTAGCAATCTCACCCTAGATCCAAGGTTGGTGTTGGGCCTTTGGGTCATTCAGGACTTAACCTCAACACCCACTATAACCTTCTAGGCTTCTACTACGTAACATTCAAATAAACAAACCTCAATGACTAATGAGTAATGTACTAATGTCCAGACGAGTCCATCTTGTTCCATAAGCTTGCGAGTCGCGATGGCTGAGCCGCTGAGTAGTTGACGAGTGAAGAGGGATACACTTATGTGACGAGTGTATCGACATAGAGATTTCACAAGTCGAGGCACATAACTTTGTCTGAAAGTCTTATTCAAATATTTTATTTAAAATTATAAAAAAGACTAAATACACAATATCATATTATGGATAAATGATTTTATATCCATGTTATTTGAAGATTTTTTATTTATATTAGTGATCACTATTTATTTAATTATATCTATATTGTTCAAGTTATTTAAATATGTTGAACTGCTTAAATATACTAATAATAATAATTATTGTTCAATATTGAATATGACATCAATAGATTATTAATTGTATTTTGTAACATTTTAATAATAGATTAAATATGTCGTTAGTATACCGATTTATTATATTTTGTTAGTCTACGATAATTTTTTTAATTGGGGGACATGCATGGTAATTTACCGATGTCGTACCGTTAACGAACCGAAACTTCGGTATATCGAAATGCGGTATACCGAAACTTCGGTAATGTATTTGTATATAAATTTTGTATATCGAAAGTTTAGGTACGACAAAGGTATGAGAGAAAATATTATGTACTTCCTCAGTTCTTAAATAAATGCGACGGTCAACATTTCACACTTGCCGAGACACAACTTTGACCATTAATATAAATGATTTTGTATTAGTAAAAAAATTAAAAAAAAAATAGATTATGAAAATTTACAATGAGACAAGTTTAACAATATTTTTTTCATAAAATAATACTATTACATTAATAAATAAAACGTAGTCAAAGTAGAACATGTGAATAGTGTAAAAGTCAAAATGTTACATTTATTTAAGAACGGAGGTAGTATATCTTACCGAACCACCCCTAATTCTGAAGCCCTAGAGCGGAAGGGACTGGAAGACTTCATTCTCAAAGGATGCAAACGTTAAGATATTTTTTAAAAATTTCACTCGTGCATGGCTATCTTAACTTACTCATGAACACTTTAAATTAGTGTTTTGGATCGTGTAGAACACTGGAGAAAATATTCAAGACAAATACACACTATGAATTATGATCAAAGACCAACCTTAATCACTATTTTTACTCAATTCTTGTTGTCTCGTTCCATTCCAATTTCCATACTTCTTGGTTTATCACTTATAAAATTCTGTTTATGGGTTTTATGTTGGATCGATTCGTCTAAAATATTCAAGAGCTATAGACTAATAGACTAACCGTTTATATATGATCTAATTGCTAAGACGATTTTAATACGAAAATGAATACTATATAAAAAGTATAAACATTTTATTCTGAGCCATGAAGTGAATATTCATATAAAAGCTACTTAGTATGTTCGATGTACCCATTTTGGAGTATCCCATTTGCACCCTCACTTTTTGTGTGGTTCACAAAAGCCCAACCATTAAATCAATTGCCCCGTTTTAATGAACTGTCTTTTGTGAACCACACAAGTAAGGGGTACAATTGTACAAATGGGGCATCCAAATGATGTGAAACATCCATCATACATTCATACATCATGTATTTTTTTCATATAAAGCATCTTGTATTGAAAAGTAGGCCGATGTAGCATTTTCCTTGGAGAAACACGGAGTGATACATTTTTAACTTACAAAGTTACATATAGAGCCCGTTTGGTGACCCTTTTTTCAGCTTATCAAACTTATCAACCAGTTTTTTCATCAAACACGTAACTTTTGATTTCGCGCGCTGAATTATGTAATAAGCAGAAAAAGTAAGGTTGGAATTATTTTTATGGCTGTATTGGCTGAAGTTACTATAGAGGATCATTTTAGCTATTTTTTCATATAATTTTTTATTTTATTTATTAATAAGAAAAATATTTTAAATATAATTTATTCAAAAATCAGCAGAATCGGCCAATACACCTACTTCAGCTAGAACTTCATAAATTTCAGCAGAATCAACCAATTCAGCCAATTTTAGTGTTACAAAACGGGCTCATAATCTGAAAGGTAATCTTACAAATGATGTGATACATCACACATGGAATATTCACTACAAGTGTCCCATAATGCAAAAAAAACGAAAGATAACTCAAGAATGGGACTACACGTCAGTCAAGATTGCTAAATGCTATGTAACAATTAGAGTACAAGTTTTGAAGCGATAGCCTCAACATTTTGCATGGGGCTAACATTCCAGTGAATTACCATACACAAATTAGCGATGTATGAAACTAATTTACTATGAAATGATGATATTATTATTACTGGGGAGGATCAAAGATGCTAATTCAAGCTCCACTTCTTCCCAATTTTGGACGCGGGTGATTAGTGGGTGGCCATTAGCAAAGTCTGACTTGCACCATGGATATGAATTTTCATAATCAAACAAAAGAACCTTGATCCCAACTTCAGCACACTCAATGGCATAATTAGGATTATCATCAATCAAAACTTTTGCTCCCAATGACCTACACCAAAACCCATTTATTATTTAGAACAACCTCATGCAACATTGTCAAGCATTCGTCCTTGGAGAAGCAAATTGGAAACAAACATAAAATCAATCTCAATGGAGGAATGTTCTAAGGGCTTGTGTGCCACTGCACCGTCCCTAAAAGGTTTGTCGAGTTCCATAATTTCATTACATCAACATTACCCTACCCCAGTGCCGCAAAGACACTACTCAGGGGTTGTTTACTTTTTTTTCATTAAGTCCTTAATGGATTAAGACGTCTGTCTACATTAAGCTGTCTGTCTAGATTAAGTTACACCGAGATAACAAGCTGTTTATTAAGTGTACTGAATGGGAAGTCTGAATCATGTCTAATGACCAAATAACCCTCCTGTCTGTAACAAGTGTTGAATGTATATTGTCTATTTACTTTCTTTGTTCTGAAATATAAATTTATATAACAAAAATTATTTAATAAAATTTATATAATGCCTGATAGATACTTTGTATATGTAAGGAATAAATGTAATTAGATTTTGATGATGCTAGGCTAATTAGAATGTTAAAGTACCCCATTAGAACATTTGTATTAGAAATTTTTCTAAGTGTAAAATTGTAGCATATTCGACGAGACAGAGAACCTCAAGGACCTCTGTTAGACCAGAGAAGCAACAAAGACAGAAGGTCGGGATATCAACAGAGTTGCCTTCTACTGCCTCTACCAGAAATGCCTCTTACTTAGAAGATTTCGAAGTAACTTCCAACGGCCGTGAAACTAACGGGAAATACCCTAACGGCTAGGAGTCTTTCAACGGAACATGATATTGTACATGCATTAAATGCTCAATTAATGCAGTACGTACGAAGAGATATTTAAAGCTGAAAATTGCGTTGAAAAAAATTGCATGGATTGAGTGCTGCTTCATAACACAGAAGCGCAAACAATTTAGTGAGTAATTTTGCTTTACTCCATCAAATTATCCCACCAAAAATATTGAGTCTTCGACTCCATTGTAAATGATGGAAATGACTTCCATGATTTCATTCTTTTTTTTTTTTGCAAATCAATTAAGGACGGAGATAGTATTAAACAAGTGAGCAAGTCTTAAGCAGGCCAGACCGAAGTAGCATGACAAACCGCTTGACCTTCGGATCAAACTTGTAAAATTTTTAACGAAAGTAGAAGTTTAGGACTACTAGAGTAGAAGTACATAGGGGTAAGAGCATTTTTGTACTAGTAGTATATTTATGACCACAAATATAATTATTGCAATCAGGCAAAGCCTTTCTGAGGCGAGTTAAAGAGAAACCTTCATTTATCCTTCGGCTTTACTTGCGTGATTCTATCAAGCAATGCTTTCTTGATTTTTGGTAGACAGCCGCTTCAGAAACTCATAGGTAGTGATCATAGTGGTTGCGGACATAGACATGGAAGCCCACCTGGGAGCTAAACCCCTGTAACATGCGCGGAACCCTCCTTTATTCACCAACTCCCTCACCGTCTCCACCACTGTGGGCTGCCGCCTCTCTGCAGCAGCCGCCCCTTCCCCATCAAGCACTTGCAACCTCGTCTTGATCGTGTCAAGCGGCATGGTCACCAACGCGGAGACGCCACTAGCCAGGGTGGCGCTCATCCCTTGGATCGCCACTAGCGCCCTCCCGTCCGGCCTGTAACCGCTCTCCTCCTTCTTGCAGCCATGGCAGCCGATCAATCCCCATAACACTCTATGAGCCACAGAGTATGAGGCCCACCATACCGCATTGGAAGGGGCGTAGGTGAGGATTGAAATCCTGAAACCTCTGTACAATCCCCTCACTCCATAGCTACACACTATCTTTCTGAACGCGTCTATTCCGCCACTGTAGCTCTTCAACCCAACTTCTCCTCCAGTTACGAATCCTTGAACCATTAGCCTCTGACTCACAACATCTATGGGAGTCCACACTAGCTGAGCCGCCATGGCCGCACTCAGACCAGCAGCCGCATTGGCTATGGCAGCCGCCGTGGCATCGGAGAACCCCAGCTGAACGGTGGCGTTCCCTACGTTACTCTTGGTCATCTCTAACGCGCCCATGTAAAGTGCACGCGCCGGGATGGTTCCGGCCAGGGAAGTTCCAAATCCCCTGTAAAATCCCCGGAACCCTTCGTTCTTCAAGATCGAATTGGCCATCTTCAGGCAAGGGATTTGAGACGCCACCACCTGCTGCCGAGTTTTTAGCACCACTACCGGGTAGAGCGTCACCGATACGCCGGAAAATAACGCCGCCCCGAGGAAGAAGAACTTAGATTTATCCAGCATCTCCCAGTCTATGTCGGCCGGAAGATGGATTTCCGACGCCGAATCGTCCGACGCCGTTCTCAAACTCACTTTCGCCACTTTTTCCAACAAATTATATTTCAAAACACGCCCAATATATACATCACAGCGCCTAAATCGACACAGGCCACAAGGCAAGAAAACCCCTAAACATTCCGGGGGAAAACAAAATCCAGGATATCACAAACCAAACAAAATGAAAACGCAGCAAACGTACGTGTTCATGAATTCCATGATTTCATTCATCATCATCATTTACCCGGTGCTGCAAAGGCTCCCCACCTACGGTGAGGTAAGGGGAGTCGGATGTACGCAGTCTTACCCCCTTGTACTAAAGCACAAAGATATTGTTTCCTTAGTGAGTCATTTTGCTTTATTCCATCATATTCTCCAGCCAAAAAATAGTGAATCTTTGACTCCATTGCAAATGATGGAAAAATTCCATGATTTCATTATGTCAAAAAAAATTGTCACGTTCCCTTCAAGTAAAGAAGTATGTAGTTCATATTGTTTTTGTATTCTTAATGCTAGATAATGTCAACTCCAACTAAATATGAAATTCATGTGCTAGGTTATTTCTTCTTCATACTAAGATAGATTTACTCATTGCCTCGTTTGAGCTTAATGAGCTTTAATATCATATTAAAACTTAAGGAGTAACATTTAGGACAATATTATGCCTTTCATAATTTCAATACACCCATCTTACCATTGTGATTTCTGCCACTGACACTTTTTCAACATGTTGATATACATACACCGCCCAACACTCCTATTCTTACATCACGATAGGTCTACTAGCAAACTTATAAAACATTCAAAATAACAACCACTACAACATAATTATTGATGTAGTTGTACCTGCAAATCTCTGATTTGGGTATGGATTTTCCATTTAATGCAAAGTGATTTCCAAAATAAATTTTCTGAAAAAGGCCAGGATAGTGCTTCTCAATCCACTCAACTGTGTGATCTTGAATTGCATATTGCCGTGACCTGTCACAAAATGATCATTAACTTCAATCCTTTTGTAATCAATCACTGTAAGAAGGCATCACATGTGAATGAAATGAAAGGTAAGTACATACGTAACTATTGACATATTACAAACTTTGGATAGGTTTTGTATAGCTTGCTGAGCACCAGGAATGGGATGGATTGCTGTCTTGAAATAAGATGACTCAAAGAACTCATGAACACGTACGTTTGCTGTTACACAAAACCATAAACATATACTCCGTATTATTTAATATTTATCAGGCAAATCGACCATACCATGTCTGCCATTTCTTGAACAACATAAATGCTGAAACCAAAACAGAACGTAAGACCTTAACCATTTACTGTAATCACCATCCAATTTGGACACAAAATTAGGCTTTGTTTGGTAGCCTTATCTGGTTCCTTCGGCTTATAGGCAAGATAAGTAGCTTTTGACTAACTAATCTTGCTGAATTGGATGTTATTGGGTTCTTTTCCTTTAAGAAAATTCAATAGATTCAGTCAATTTACGGTTTCCATAGACATGTGTACGGGATGCTTTGATTGAAATACAATTTTACCTTCGTCCTTTGAGCACCTCCATATCTGTGACAAGAAAAATGAAAATTATATGAGGCAGATACATTTCAGTTTCTATATAATAGAATGGAAATTGAATAATCAAGAATACTAACAGTAAGAATGAAGGGGGTAATTTCAGCATCCATAACCAAGAGGCAGGAAATAGAGATAAGACACAATAAACACATTTCTTTTCCAAGTGTCAACTTTGAATTGAATTGAATATTGTTGACATTTATTAAGGAGTTCACTTTTTTCATTTTTAGTCGACACAGGATAAACCTCAATATATATGATAGAGGCATGATAAGGAGGGCCAGAACCGAATCTAATCTTGCCCATAAGTCCACGATATATATAATACTCCGTATAAAAGAAGGGAGGAGATAGAAAGATGGGCACCTTGGCAAACTCATAAACGTGATATTCAGACACAGAGTGACACAGTGAGTAACGATCTGCAACAAACTGATTGATTGCTGATACAAAGTTTCCAAGAACTGGCCAGAAAAAAAAACACATAAGGCGAATTTCTATGAGCATGAAAAATAAAGCATGTTAAACCAAGAACTGATAGCTTTACACAACAAGAAAATCAAGTGAGACCATAACTGTAAGTTCTCAAGATGATAATGCATTACTATGCAACTACTAGCTGCAGATAACACTAAGCAGCAATGCAGCTGGAGCTCTGTAAATAGTTCAACTTAAATGACGGATACAGAAACCAAGGATATCAAACAACAATTCTAACGAGCAATAAAATTCCACAAAACAAGTGATCATTGTTAGGCAAAAAACAATGGCATATGGAAGTGCAAATTTACTAAAGGGCACAGTTTTAGATTTTTGAATCAATTACTAAAAGAAGTTTTTGGAACAAGAAACGTAAACTAAACACTAAAATGAAAACCTAGATGCAATTATTCATTCGTACACTACGATTTGATGTCATAACAATGAGCTTGAACTGACATGGCGAACATGGACCAAGTAGTATATCTGCATATTCAGTTGATCACAAGTATACAAATAGACAAACATACCCTCATCAATATCAACAGCCACCACCATCTTCTCTGATAAATCAGGATAGCGAAATCCACCTGAGCTCCCTATGTGAGAATAATCGCTGCTGGTATCAGAAAACTCGATTGCTCCATTTCCCAATCTACTATCCTCCGAATCACGAAGGAACGGAGCAAATGCCTGTGGCCTAGGCAATTCATTATCACCGCCACTAGATTTTCTTGTAATACCACCACTATGGCAACAACCCTTAGGCACGAAAACTGAATGTCGGTTGACGTATTCACTCCTGCCGCCCGGAAAACACCGTAACTTTGTTTTAATGGGAGAGATGAGAGGAGGTCTTGCCGCTGTGACCATGGCTCCGGCGGAAATAAAAAGCCCCAACTTTATATCCAAAAGTGAAGGTAATCTAGTAATGCTACTCCCTCCCAAAATGAATTCGTATATGCTTCTGTTGGGTGAGCACAGTGCAGTAGGCCCAAATTCGAAGCAGGGTTCAAATAACAAACAACCGTAATAGACCCAAAATAGAATAAGTCCAGGAATAAGTGGCCTTGCAAAAAATTCAGTGCCAAATATGAAATATGAAAGATCGAAACTCTTCTTAGAAGTCGTATCTTCTCATTGCTGTAGCAAATTCTCCTCACAGATTGCCTATAGAGTTGACGACGACCACCGCAATGCAATACATTTTTCCATTCACAGGAATGAAAGATCTGCAGGTAGAAGAGAAAACCAAAGAAAGAGTAGTGAAAGGACTTCTCGAATTAGAAAAAACAAGACATCTTACACGTAGATTAAGAAAGTCTACTTTCTAAATTCTTCTCATTTTGATTTGACACGGAGATTAAGAAAGTGGAATAAAGTGGAAATGTGTGATTGTAGTTGTTTAAGAAAAAGGTGAAATGAATGTGAACCACACAAAGTGTCCAAAAATAGTAAGTGGGAAGATTTTTTTGAGACAGCCCAAAAAGGAAAGTAGGAAGAATTTTATGGGACGGGGGGAGTACTACGTATATGTCTACTAGTAAATGTTTTGAATGTTTTATGTTCAATTCTAAATTCACACAATATGCAGATATTTTATGCTGATAGACTAGTGTTTAAAGGAAAGAGACTGCCAAGAAAGCACCATTATTTATTGGGTGGACTGTGCAAAATTTGAAGAAAAAAAAAAAAGAGAAAAGGCAAAAATAGATAGCGGAGGTTTTGGATATGGATTCACATATGAACCAAATCAGGGAACACAGGGAGACGTTATACCGTGGGAGCAGTGCAGGGTGAGCATCATGCTCCCAGGGTTATATGAAATGTAAATCGTGTGAATCCACATGTAACTTTAGATTAATCCAAATGTAAATTACACTCATTCACATGTAACTCATTGAAATGTAAATTGCTTTAGTTGAAATGTAACTTGTAAACAAGTTAGATGTAACTTGGTATATGTAACTTTAGGCAAATCTTAATGTAACTCGAGTGTACCCAACATGTAAATTGAGAAAGATATAAAATAATTGATAATAGTCATCTTCAACTCCACCGGACCCCTGCCCTGGTTGCAGCCACCATTCCCAATTCCACATATGACTAAACTCAAACGAGTGCACCATTTCCCCTCTCTAGCTCCAAACCTAGCCTTCATCCATTTGTTCATCGGGCCTCACCCTTCACCTCGGATTGGACAGAATATGACTAAGAAGAAGAATAGCTAGCTAACGCTGGCGACCTGGAGGCGGATGCAGCAGCTTGGAGGTGCGGCGACCTGGCGGAGGAGACAAATCGGAGGCTGGGGCGACGACCTAGAGACTGAGGGGACAACGAGGAGGCGGAGGCCTAGAGGCCGAGGCAGCAACTGACGGGTAGGGAAGGGAAGGACCGCGATACTGTGTCATTTTGGACCGGACACACCATCCTCATGGTGCGCCGGTCGTAGGATATAATTTTCCGAACACAGGAGGCACCGGAACAGGCAATGATCAAAACAAGTCCTCAAAATCTGAAGCTTAGTGTTCACAACATCCAAAAAATGTATGAATAGAACTTAAATTGTTAAAATTTTAAAAGTGAGTAATGTAGTATTTTATATCAACAAATAGTAGTGATTAAGTAGGTTTATAATCATGTTGTTGTAATTAAATCAAGATGTGATGAAGGAATTCGTCGCGGCAGCTAAACTGTTGGCTGAAAGCATATATCAAACTATGACTAGAAGTTTCACCAAGTTGCGCAGGCTTTGCCATATGATGACATGATGAAGGTTCTTCTGGAAAAAGTTCATGGAATGTTCAACACATACACCAGAGAACCGCCAACAACTGAAAAGGCAAAAGAAATAACACTGACACCAATTGATGATTTCTGAATAGAAGATGTTCTGTGAGCAGTAGGAGCCATTGAAACGGCACAGAACAAGAGAAATGAAAGGCTAGCACTGACACGGTAAGAAAAAGTCAAGCTTCACATTGTAGTCCCAAGAATCCAATGAGCAGCATGAAGAGTTTAATGAGCATGTGGAGCTGGATAATGAGCATGAAGAAGTGATTGTTGAAACAGAAAGTAGGGAGCATGAACTTGATGATGAAGCCATAAACAAATCAACTAAAAAGGGAAGCAGGGTGTCCTTGATGATGAAGGTTGTTGTCAGGAGAATCAAAGAAAAAAAGACAAATAATCTGCACAGTTGGTCTGAAGTCTCTATTTGTTACTCGAGTTACTGAAATCAAAGCCTCAATGATGACTGAAGAGATAAAAGTAGTTGAAATTGTGTTTAACGAGCAGATTGATAAAAATTAAGTAACCGAATACTTATCAACATCTATTATATATTAAATAATTCATAATTTGATCATAAATAGCTGACCACTTATTTTGAATGAAATAGTATTCTTTTGTACAAAGATGGAGATGTTGCTCTTACAAAGGGAGAGATGGAGTCTTTAGGCATCAATTGCAAAGTGAGTCCAAAAGCCATAGATTTGTGGGCAACGATCTAAACCACAACACAATGAGACATTTAGGAGCAATGAAGCGAGAAACAAATTGATATTCACAACATCACCATGTGTAAGAATTATGGTCGTATATATTTTTATTCATAGATTTATAAGTAATATTTTAAATGATTGACTTACAGAGAGTATTGGAGGAAAACTGGCTTAGCACTGGAACAACAAGGATGAAGAAGTTTATTGAAGCCACACGGGCACAATTCAAGACATCATTGCCAAAAGTGAGCAATATGTATCTATTTTTATTCCCGGCTAAACAAAATGGAAGCTATTACTTCATGTGCATTGATTTGAAGAATACGAAGTTCAACATCATTGATAGATGTGACAGGGAAATAGCAATAAAAATGAAGTATGGTTCCCAAGTAGGGGCGAAGCTAGGACACTGGGTCGGACTGAGCCGGTACAAAGAATATTTTTAGAAAAAAATTTACACGAAATTTTTTACCTTAAAAATTTAGCCATTTTTCAAATTTGGGGTGGGCCATGGCCTAGGTTGGCCCACCCCTAGCTCCGCCCATGTTCCCAACCCACCAGTCCGGTAAGTATAAAAAGAAGTATTATATTGTTTTTAAAATGAGTATGTTAGAAAAATTAAATGAACAATAATACATTTTTATTGTGCAAATGTTTTTATCAATACTAAATACACAAACTGTTTACATTCTTATATGAATAGAAAACTGATGTGCTGAAGTGTCTGAGGGGAGAAAAAGCACTCACATGAGGAGAAAGTGAAAAGCATGAAGGCGGAAGTTGTAAGAATGCAACAAGACAATCAAAGAGTCTATCTCATGAGACACATGGAAACGTTCAATGGAGACACCGAGTGCGAGTGTGGACTTGAAAAAGAAAATGTAAAGTACACATTTTTTCTAATAAAGCTTTAATGTAATAATATTAGTAGGTGAAAAATATGGTATATTAAAACTAACATATATTATCATGCATGAAAAGCCAATACAAATTCTAAGGATAAAGTAACTGTACAAAATATTGACATTTGAAAAGAATGAAGTCAGGGTGGAAGTGATGGAAAGAGTGAAGCATAAGAATGTGATGTAGTCCAAAAAAACTTACTTTAAATTTGACTTGGAATACTTTTAAGGTGTTAGTTGGAAGAAACATATTTTTTGGATGTGAATTTGAATGTATGGACATGTTGCACTACTAGCTTTTACTATGTGATTAGGTGGTTGACATTTATAAAGTTTGTAATATTCAGTGATGGCAGCTAGACATTACGTTTATTTGAATGATGATCATTACTAGTACCTTATATGCTCATTTTATCCGCAAATATACTTAGTTTGAGAAGTAGCCAATTAAACTTAAACACATTGAGTGACCAATAGATTTTTAATTTTGAAAACTCAAACGCTTGAAGAGTTATTTTTGAACTATAAGAGAGTTATTTACAATGTTGTAAGTAAATTCAGTGAAAAATAGAAAGACCTCAAAAGATATTCTTAAACAATTATGGTAAAAGATAATGTAAACTACACATTTCTTTATGATGATTTAATCCAATATCAATAGTATGTGAAAAACAAGATAACTTAATACTAACATGTATATAATCATGCAAGAAAAGCCCATACAAATATTGAGGATGAAATACCTCCACAAAATGTTGACATTTCAGAAGAATGATGATTACTAGTACCTTACGTACATAACCATTTTCTAAACAAACATACTCAAACTGTTATCAAGGAATCTTGCTAAAAATTATTTTATGAGAATGGGTTCTCATGTTACATTAAATAGAGTACTAAAATGTGTATTATGAAATAGACAATTTGAGTTTATAAGTATAAATTACATACATAGACAAGCTCAATATATACTAAAAATGAGTATAGATCATTAAAGGTCATTGTTTTACAAAATAATATCATTTTATTATTAAGGACAGTCATTTGAATTAGTATCCATTATGTATGAGTACAAACGTCTACTAGAAAGAGGATTATTAACGGCCAATATATAACGACGACCCTTACAAGTTGTCATTACAAGTATCTTTTAACATCAACTATTGAGTTCGTCGTTATTAAATTTATCTATAACAACCACATTTGAAACGTCGTCATTATTAATCAATCTGTAGTCGTCGTTATTACAAGGGATGGATTTAGGGGGGGGGGGGGGCGACCGCCCCCCTTGGACTTTTAAAAATTTTCATTATATATGTAATATTTGCATAAAACTTTTCATACTTTAATTAGATATATCTGTGTTCACCCCCCTTAACTTTTAGTTTCCAAAATTAATATATAGCCTTACATAATGTAAAATTTAATTGGAGATTTAAAAGAAGAGACGTCTAAAATAATTTACATACTTAAGCAAATAAACAATATAATAGAACAACTATGATCATTGTTTAAGACTTGGGATATTTATTATATAAAAATTCCTAGTTTTATAATGTTTACTTATCTTTATTAGATAATTAGTACTCGATTTTGTAAAATATCAAATAATATTAACTACCAGACACACTAGTTAAATAGTTTTTAGATCATGTGAGGTGAATCCAAAATATAAATTTTTGTTGACATTAAATTACACAATTCATTTACTTGTTACATTTTACAAACTAATTATTGCATAGATAATAAACTTAGAATGTAATAGTTTTAAATGTCGTCGTATATGTATTAATAAAAAAAATGAATAAAAAATTGCCGCAAAGCCCT